TTTTCATTTGTACTCATAATTTTTAAATCTTTTATTTGTACCCTAATTTATTTATAATGTACCTGTGACATCCCGTCCTGAAAATATCGAAAACTCACGTGTGAAATGACTATTTTGCCCTTAGTTCGTTTCTTTTACGTTTAGTGGTTGTTTTGTGTGGTGTTGGCATGTGTTGGGCCACACACACACGCACACACACACTGTCACTCTCCCAGATTCCCTGTCCCTTTCCCTGTCTCTCTCTCCCGAGTCCTCTTTCCTTCCTCTTCCTTTTGAAAACGTACGGACACACACACAAGTATACTAATCACCCACAGATCGAGGGAACCAAGACCACCTTCGAGCTCGTGAGGCTGAGAGGAGTCCAGTTGTACCATTTTCAGGTAAGAAAATCACCGTTTTCACGTCGATTTCACGAAGTTAGTTTGGGGTACTATTCATGCAAACGTAAATACTCAATTTTTAAGGAAAATGGAGCTCGTAGGTAGCTTGGTGAGGTCCCCAGGAGTCTCGGAGTAGCTCGTTTGAAGAATTTGGACGTCAGGATCACCGTGTTCGAAGTTGGCCGGTTTTGGTTAGTGTGGACAGGTAAGATTTCGTAAATTTTAGCCCTTAAAAGTGGTATATCGTGATTCTCCTAGGTCTAAGCTTCATTTTGGTAGTAATTTCATGAAAATTGGACAAAAAATGAGTGAGATATGAACGTTTGAAGTTTTCGCGATTTTCCGACGCCGACGACGTCACCCGAGTCTCGCCGGGGAAGAAGACGGAATATTCCGTCAAGTTTGACGGAATATTCCTGACGCCGTTAACGGAATCTGTCAAAACTGACGGAATATTCCTAACGGCGTCAGTTTACGCCGTCAGCGTGCCAGGCACGTGCCTGCGCGTGGCCGGCGCGTGGGGGCGCGTGCGGCGGTGGAAAAATTTTCTAAAAATTTGGGTGTGATCCTGAGGTTGTGTAGAGCACGTTGGTATATTCATTTGTCCATTTTGAGCAATGTATGAGAAGTTATTACGAAAGGAAGGTTATGTGCTTTAAAATTAATGTTTTTATAGTATTTTCGCATATAGGTGAAACATATCCAGAGGACGAGCGTGGTCACTCGAGGCAGGGGGGCTACGACCCTTCCACATACCAGTGAGTGGGCTTTTGGTTTTCCGTATATACCTATATACTTATAACTCCCAGAAATTTATATAAATGTTTATTAGTTATATGCCATTCCTTTATATTATTGGTTATTATGCATGATTGTTGCATATATGTTTGTTTATACATATTCATTTATATGTTCATATATATATGGGTGCGGTGGAGGCACAGGTAAGTGCCAGGTAAACTATTTAATATTTGCATTAAGTAGTGATTAGAGATGCTTAGAGAGCTCATAACCTGCACCCCCGGTGTTAGTGTTCCCGTCCAGAGTAGGGCACAGTCCTTCACGTGTTGTTCACCTCCCGCACCATACGCTTAGCTTGGATCCAAGTTAGGTGCACAGTTTTGTCGTACAGACCACTTTAGGTGGTTCCGACTCGTAGGTGATCCGCGATTATTCGCACAGCCTTCACGTGATCGTAGCACTAGAGCGTTTATATGTATTACACCTAGGCCTGTCGTACAGACCACTTTAGGTGGTTCCGACTCGTGGGCAGGTTTAGTTATTGAGATTGAGATTTGAGCTCTAGATTCAGCCGTACAGGTCACTTTAGGTGACTCCGGCTGCCAGTGATATGTTATTGATACGGGTTATACCTGAGCACTTTCATTTCATTCTGAGTTCTTGGCATGGCATATTCTTGAGCATGGTTGACATATATATTTATACGTGCCTATGTTTATTTTTCTGGGAAGTATACAGGTTTTACGGCGAGGGGTTAGAATCTTGTTTTTGAAATGATTTTCGAAAAGCTTTGTTTTTGCCCACTCACGCTTTTGTTTTGCGCCCCTCCAGGTTCTAGCTAGCTAGCAAGTTTGGTGGTTTCCCAGAGGGCTTTTCCGGCATTTCTGACAGACGATCACCAGCGTATGTCCACCTTCGGGTGCGCTGCTGTAACGCTATTTTAATTTGGACTGCTTTAGGCTTTCTGCTCTGAAGTAGTGTCTCACTTACGCTAGCACTTATTACTTTGACCTTTTGTATGCTAGTTTTTATTTATTCGTACTTTCATATTACTACTTTATTAGCTTCCGCACTGTGCACATGGCTACGTCACTTCCACGTGACGACCAGCACGCCCTGATCTCGGTCGGGGTGTGTCAGTACCCATTCTTCTTTTTTTAATGTACCACTTTATTATATGTGAAATGTACCAATTTTTTTTAACACTATGGATACATTCTTTTGCCATTTATTATTTCTTATTGTTACATAGTTTTTATCCATTTATTCAATCAAAATGTTTGAATTTTTTTATTGTAGCCGTTTCTAATAGTATTATAATGAGGGATTTTAAATTTATAGGATTATAAATCTCATAAAATATCAAACAATTAATGTCAAAACTATAAAAATATAAATATTAATAGTAATGTAATGAGGTATACAAAGTCAAAGAACTTTGATCAAATTTTGAATACCATTAAGATTTTAGTCAAAAGATGTTAAGGACTAAGAACCGCATTCAAAGTATCCCTTTAATAAAACAAAAGATGGCCTTTAATCTTATTGATAACCACTTTGTTGACACAATATTGAAGCTTAACAATTAAGCAACGAGGAAAAGGAAGAACTAATTAGATAGATAGAGAGCGAGTTAGGGTGAGTTAGCTAGAGAATTAATCCCTCGAGAGATCTGGTCCACGAGTTCTTTTTTTTTTTTTTTACTTGATTTTGGTCAAAGAACAAATAATATTGAGAGGGATGCTAAGGTACACGCGTCAACGAGAAGGGACACTGAACAGAAATCAATTACACACCTGCACCATTGGCCATTAATTTCAAGGGACCCCGACCTTAATTGTGTGCCCACCCAGGTGCCAGCAACCGATAATTTGGACGGAGACATGTTTGGGGTGCCACAAAGTTTGGTTTTTCTTCAGCCAACTGGGAAGACATTATCCAAGGTTAATATTTTTTAATTACCTGGTTTTACCATTGAAGACATATACACAGTGAAGATCTACCACGATTTTTTTCATTGTTTCAATCAAGGGTGACATTTTTGTGAAGTACACAATAACTGGTTATGAAATAGCATCGAATTGGTAGAAATAAAATGGTTGTTTTTCGTAGTGTTTGTAATTGATTAGTTGGTGCAATGAAACCTATCTTAGGGTTTTCATCAAAGATGATGCTAAAGACACCATCTACTTGAACTATATTTTGTAGACCACATGATGTGGCGTTTGATGATTGAATTCTTTCTTTAAATTACACAAAAAAACTTAGAGGGTGTATTCAATTGGGAATTTGAGAGATTTTAATGAATTTATAAACTTCTTTAAAATTATAATTGAATACACTCGGATTTCTAAGGATTTTAATAAACTATCTTAAAATCCTGATTGAATACACATTGAATTTAAGAACATCACTTAAAAATCCTGATTGAATACTTCTAAATTCATTAAAAGAATTAAAATTCCTCAAAATCTCAATTGAATACACCCCTTAATATTAAAAAAAATTAACCATCAATTAAAACATTATATGGTTTTCAAAATATGATTTCCATATATAACATTATATAATTAAGTACCTTCGCTTTCACGTAGGTGGTAAGTGACGGATCATTTATGTGATTGGAGCATATTTTAATTGTGACGGGAATACAAATAATATACCACGTGTTTTAATAGAAGTGGTGGGAAATTTTATTTTTTAAGTTATTAACTTTTTAGCACACATATTTCACTATTTATATAATGATACATGGTGTACCAACTTGTGTACCGATCATATTGAAAAAATCTCACATGCGATTGGGCTAGAAAGTTCAATTTTTTGCTTAAGAGTAATTAAGGGATTTAATTGTAATTAAAAAAAAATAGAGCATGGTACGTACCAAAAGCATTAATTTCATCACAACGACCAACCAACTTCCTCCCAACTCCCACCACACCTACATGCGCATTTTCTTCTGTAGTTCGGTGCACACTGGGTAATGTGTTTCTCACTCGGGTAATATTTAGGGGATCTAATTTTTAAATCAAATTGTGTGCACCAAATGATATAGTTGTTGATGGTTGGATTACTAATTAAATGTCGATTAACATATTTGTTTTTTATCAGTAATATGCATTATTTGGTTTCCCGAACATTATCCTTCTCACTATATATTTACTAGCAAGAATATATATCAAGGAAAATACGTGGTTGCTTTTTTTTTTTTATTGGAATTTTAACAAAATATTCTCAGTATTGTTCACTTTTAACGAAAAATCACTTTTTTACATTTCCGTACTATTCACTACACGTTTATTTGTCATTTTTTCATTAAAACTAAAGTTTTTTTTAGACTTTTTGTTAGTTTTTTTTTTTTTGTTTTTTAGTTCAATACATGGTTGCTTATATATAACTTTTCACAACAATGGAGTATAGAAATACTTTCTTTCATTTGTAAATGGAATGTATTGACTATAGGTTCGACTCTTTTATATGATAAATTCAAAACTAAATTATTATGATCGATCAATCGTAAGACTTGTCCCAAATATCTATTACCATTTAAGATTAAGTATCGTTGTATAAAAAAGAAATCCTTCTTCATTAAAGACAAATCATAATTTGAGTTGTGTTCCGACTAATTTTTCAATACCTTTAAAATATAAGGAGTACTTCAAGTTTATAATTCATCACAATGATTGAGGTAACAAGTAATTACACACGTAAACGTACAAATTTTTTTGACCACTATACCCTTCGTTCACACGTTTTCTCTCTTAATTTTTCTCTATATAAGCACCACCATAGTGCCTTTACAACTCACTAACTGCACGAGTCTTCAAATCAAGTTCTTTCGCATCCATTACTCATACACACTTTGGTAATCCACATCCTAATTAATTCGTTATGGCTAGCTCTGCAGTGATCAAGCTTGCTTTGGTGGTGGCCTTGTGCATGGCTGTGAGCGTTGCTCATGCCATAACATGTGGCCAGGTGAGCTCCAACCTTGCACCATGCATTAACTACGTGAGGAGTGGCGGAGCTGTCCCTCCAGCTTGCTGCAATGGAATCAAAACCATTAACGCCTTGGCCAAGACCACCCCTGACCGCCAGGCTGCTTGCAACTGCCTGAAGAGTCTTTCCGGCAGCATCAGTGGTGTTAACCCTGGCAATGCCGAATCGCTTCCTGGAAAGTGTGGAGTCAACGTCCCCTACAAGATCAGCACCTCCACCAACTGCGCCACGTAAGTATCACAAAACCCAAATTACCGTTGGATCAAAATTAACTGTTTGACAGTATCTCACAGAACCCTAATTCCCGTTTGATCTAACGGTTGAATTCCATAACCTAAACAAATGCATACCTCGTTCATAATTGTTTTTGTTTTGGCTAATGCATCTTCCTCAAGAACAACGATATAATTTATTGACTTCTCTGTGTTTTGTTTTTCTTTTTTTTTCTTTTTTTCTTTTTCGGTATGATTGCAGCGTGAAGTAAGCTTGAAGGGAGATGATCATTTTCGGCGGCAGATAATTATAATAGAGTGAAAATAAAACGTGGTTTTGCGATCCGGCCACAAGGGGTTCCTCATGAGGGAATCGTTTAAATTATTCTATGCTACTTCTGTATCATCCCTATGCATCCATGTAGAATTAATTAATAATATATGAAGTTTAAGTAAAGTTCTCCTCTTTTGCTATATTCCTTTTTAATTACTTAAATTCCTCTTCCTCCCACAAGAAACTAAACAAAAATGGAACGGAAAGAGATACGAAGAAAAAAGGAAGCAAAACTAGCATGATCAACCGCTGGATTGAATTCACCAATGACTGTTAACATTAAAGGCTTGTGATGTAGTCGAGATTACTACATTTTTCGCTAATAAAAAATGGAGTGAAAAATCTAAATCTCAAGGTTTTTTATTTTGAAAGCCAATAGATTAAAAGCTCCTGGTTGTTGAGCCTGCTATTGTTAGTAAATGATGCCCTTAGTTGAGAAAAATGATGAATTAATTTGGGTTGGGACTTTCTCTGCCATGAGCTACTTGGTTACAAACTAGTTATGCTATGATACTCAAGCTCATTTAGAGCTACTGTTCAAAATAAAGTGTGGAGACTTAAAGGGTGAACCGAAAACCGTACAGAAGAGTAACTTTGGTTTGGTTTTCTCAATTCGTAAAGGGTAAACCAAAGTAACTAGATTCAATGTTTCTATTTTGGTTTGGTCCAGTTCGATTTCGATTTTTTTTTTTTTAATTTGAAATTGGAAAGAATTGAAGGAAAAAAACTTGAGGTTGGGGAAGATAGATAACCCGATTTCAAGATCCACAAATAACAATCAATTCATAAAATTAGATATTACGAGTCTAAGCACTCAATGAACCACAAAAAAAGATAATTCACAATCTAACATTACGATCGTAAAATAAGAATTCCACTAAACAAAATAAAAAGTCTTTAAAGCATGAAAGCTATTACAAATCAAGCTTCAACTCTACAATACTTCAACTTCAAAAGTTCTAACATCTAACCATTTCGAGCTCAAATGAGATGCAGGGGTAACAACCTTAGGATTAAGTGTGAAACGATGTTGTTTTGCTTATTTTGGTTCGGTTCCATTTAGTTCGGTTTTTTTATCCAATAAGAACCTAAAATTGAATCAATAAATTTCAATTCGGTTTCTTCAACTTTTAGTTTTTTTTTTTTTTTTTCCTCAGGCCAACCGAGGGTTGGCCAAAGAGCTCATTTTAGCCCTCTAGCCCTTCAAGAAATTAATATTTTAATGAATAGTACATGGTCATATTTGCCTCCGTCTCCAACCGAGGGCCAAAAGGCCATAGGGCTCGTTTTAGCCCTATCACAAAAAAGGGTCTCCAACCGAGGGCCATAGGGCCAAACATAATTTATTATTTAAATTTAAAAATCACAACAACTTAAATTCAAATCCAACAACTTAAATTTAAAAACTACAACGGTAACTGGCCCAAAAAACTAAAAAAATTAGAACTTAAATTTAATGAATAGTTTTGGTATTTATAGGGAAAAAAAATTAGAATTTTTAAGAATAATAAAAAAAAAAGGCCCAAAAGGCCAAAAAAAAAAAAAAAAAAACAAAACAAAAATAAAATTTGAATACAATGGCTAGCTGACTAGCCGTTGCATTCAAAATTTTTTTTAAGCAATCCTGTTGGTTATAACCTACAGGATTGCTCTATTTTCTGGCCAGCCTCTGGCTGGTTGGTTGGCTGCATGTAGCCAACTCTTTCCAATTCCGTGGGGCCCTCTCAGATTCCACAGCCCTCTGGCCCTCTGGACCCTTCGATTGGAGATGAGCTCAGTTTTCGATTTTCTAACCCTACCCCTAATGATGAGGCCCTTAAAATTTCAAAATATCACTCACCATCATCTTGTTTGTGGGTCGTGGACTTGACCGTTTGGGCCCCATTGCACCATGTACCTTCTACAAATGTGGTTCACTTGGGTATATAACCTGAAACATTGCTATTGACTTATTTGGTGAAACCTTTTTTGGATGCATTGTTTTGCTGTCGTCTAGTCTGCTGCATGCACAAAAAAATAGTCGTTTAAGTGAGTGTCGTCTCATGGAAGAGCTTACAATTGTTATAACCATCCTCTAGAACGCAAACCATCGTCTGAAAAACATCTAGACAACATTTTTTACATCACCTAGAAATTTTGAGAAAGTGGCCTTTCTCCTACATTATGTACATTCTTATAAAAAAATAATAATAAGGAAAGATGTCAATTGGCCTTACCCTACTTCGTAAACATCATAATTTTGCTTTCTGATGGTTATGAACAAGACCAAGTATATATATTACTCTCTCATGGTAATGAATAAGATTAACTGGACCAACTGAATCTGTGATCACATGCCAAAGCTCAAGCAGAGCCATCTTCGGCCTTTGTCCGAATTTTATAAAAGGACCCTCCTATGGTAGTTTTTCATGATTTTTTTTTTGTGAAGGTATTCATGCCAAATTCAATAAACAATCAAAATTCTAACTTAATTGAAGTTAGTATCTCACTCCAACTAATTCAATAATCTAACAAAAGATTTTTCTTGCTTCAATTGCTATGAAATTACAATTTTGTGAAGAAAAAAAAGTAGGACTAAGAGAGAGAGATAGGGGAAGACGCTTTTGTTTGTAGCATAACGTATTACACAAATTAACTATTTTTATTGTTTTATCACTAGAGAAAAGTGAAAGGTTATATAATAGGGTGGTGCTAACGATACTCATTTTTACTTTTCATACATCATTTTCAATTTTCGATCATCGGATTGAATGAATTGAAGAAAATTAATTGACAAAAAATAATAAGAGTGTGTAAAAAGTAAAAAGGAGTACGTGACTAATACTCCCCTATTAGTGCTCACTTAGTCCATTGTAATATGTACTGACAAGAAAAGAAAGGAGTGCACTTTTGCTAATCTCAAATTACACGAAACTCATTACGTATGTGGGTAGTAATTTCCACTATGAGTTAGACGTGTAAAAGAACAAGAGAGGTGCAAAAATCAGTTTTATCATGTAATATGTGAAAGTGATGAACCTTCCAAATAAAAAGTTACGTGATCATATCTGTAATCTGTAATCTCTATAAATGCGATTTACCAATATTAGCCAACTATTTTTTCTGGATACAGTTACTCAAAACAGGTTCACTGCCTTACCGATGAAACCATTTAAGCTCTCAACCATTACAACCCAAAATTGTGATAAGATAAGAAATGAAATTAAAGCCCCCACCTTAACCACCAAATTAAGTGATTACAGTTGGCTCTTTCATCTAGCTTCTTCACTCTATATAACCACCGTATCTCAACTCGAACTAAACATCTTAACTCAGAAGAAAAACTGTTGTGTGTTCATAGTATTATTCATTCTATATGGCAAACATTGGTGTACCAATGAAGGTAGGAGTTTGTGTGTTGCTCCTGTGCATGGCGATGGGTGCACCTTCAGCCCAGGCCATAACATGTAGCGATGTGACTGAAGCCATGATCCCCTGCATAAGCTACCTTACGGGTAGTGGAGGACCTGCCCCTGCTGTACCATGTTACAATGGGTTAGGTCCATAAACAATAGGGCACAAACCACATCTGACCGCCAAACCGTTTGTAAGTGTTTGGACTCAGATGCCAGTACGATTCCAGGACCCCAGCCTAACCTTGTCGCTGGCCTTCCCTCCAGCTGTGGAGTTAACCTCCCTTACAAGTTCAGCACCTCTACCGACTGCAACAGGTATAACTTGTTACATATTATTATACACTCGGTAACAGTAATAGATCGACATAGCAATAAGTCGGAATATTTTATCCTGTTTATCTTTTGTTAATTAAGTTATTTGTCCTTGTGTTAAAAAGATGTGTGTGTGTGTGTGTGTGTGTGTGTCATCTGATTTTGGAATAAAGCAAATAACATTTCTCCCTTCATGACAAAGTGCATATGCTCAATTAACATCAATTATTCTTCCATGATCTATAGTAAAATTTCTTAAACATATAGTTAATTAATAGGTGACTAGGAGATTCACTAACTCAAAAGACTCGAAATATTTACAAAGATATCTCTTCTCCTTGAAAGATTTGGACCGAAAGATGTCATGATAGAGAATAACTTGTACTATTTTTCTTGTATATATGATTGGTTCATATGGTCAATTATTCTTCTATGATTGTTAATGGAACCGTAAACAAACTAACTAGTCCACATAAATTTGTCAAAAATTCAAGAAACACAAATGTGACAGAAGCCGCATACAATTTCTCACAGAACTTTAGTAACTTGTAATTAACAATCTCCAATGCAATAGAATTCAAATATGAGTTTCAAGTTTGTAGGTAAATTCAAACAAGACTTTTGGTAGAAGTGGTAGATTTTCCAATGAATAGGGAATTCATCTTCAATCTGCTGCATGTCAGATTCAAACTTTCTCCTCTTTGCTTTAGTGTAGCTTAGCGTGGGAAATATTGCTTGTAATAAACCCTAAATTTGGACCCGAATCTCTTACCAATGGAGATGGCCTAATAAAACTACAGCTTCCGAGCACTCTATGCTGTTCGTCTTGTAAGATTTACCATACTTTTTAGACACCTGCAACGCTGGACTCAACTCAAGGCAGATTACAAGTTCAAATTTTCATAGGTTTCTACACATGAAGCTTCAAGAGCATTCAAATGATGTCGCATAAAAATAAGTACAACTAAAAAGCTTTGAATTCAGCTGCCTACTAATACCATGCATCCATATTTCTGGCCACATACGTACGTGTCTTTGTCCTGCACTCCCACATTTTCTTATATAAACCCTCCGAAACCCTACTTTCCGGGCCACACAATCAAACTATCACAAATCAAAACAGAAAAAATCCAACAAGCCCTGTAGCTCCCTTTAAATCCAATATCAATGGCGAACTCTCTGGCCTTCAAGCTTGCCTTCCTGGCCCTCGTGTGCATGGTGGTGGGTGCACCATTCTCCCAAGCTACCATCTCATCATGCAGCCAGGTGACACAGTACGTGGGACCCTGCATTCCTTATTTTAAGAGTGGCGGGGCAGTGCCACCAGCATGTTGCCAAGGGATTATAAACCTGAACGGCGCCGCTCGGACCACACCTGACCGCCGAACCGCTTGCACTTGCTTGGTCAACACTGCT